CATGAACCATGTCATTGAGATTAGTGTGGCTCACATCAACCAAAATTGCTTTGATGAAGTGTTGGAACAGAAGAGAAACAATAGCGGGTTAAAGTCTCCAACTGTGAGTCCATTTGTCCTATTCTCCTAAGATGCTTAATTTGAAGGAGAGTAACCTGATGATGAGAGAAATAATATGGTTAGTACAAAGGCACAGTGCACAGCCCTCCTAGACCAAAGTGCTTTTACCCTGGACAGCAGCTGTGATGAAGAACCATCTGGCCACACTCACTGGGAACACACTGAGGTTTGATCACAACCTAAACCATGGCGCAGAATATGTTTCTTGGCAACCAAAATGGGTATTGAGTAGGTTTTGGGGTGCACCATTGCACTCTTCCTCACTAACAGAGTTTTAAAAGTTTGTGTCTTGGGTCATCAGACTTAACATATGCTAAAGAAAAAAAAGCAGTGTTCAAACAAATTTGGAAAATGCCTCATCTTCCATTCCTCTCTTAGAAACTCACCAGAAAAATTGGAGCATTAAAGATTTCACTATGTCTGGCAATGAAGATGCCATTTAACTTTGATCAGGTGCTTCCAAAAGTTTTCTGATCACTGCCCCATTTGTTCCCTGAAAACCTGAAAGTTGTAAACAACGTATTTTGAGAAATCCGGCTTAAAATTTGCAGAAGCTTAAGAGAGATGTACATTAAAAAGGAATTTAGATCCAATTCACAGATGATCACACAGGAGATCTACAGGGTTCTGGTTGACTGACAATCCTTATCATCTGCCACAAAACATCAAAACGTTCCTTGTGGCTATTAGCAGGGGTGGAATCCTCAACTGGGCTGGCCAGGCTTTTTATGGGCTAGGATCTTTCCTGATGGTGGGGTGTGTGGAGACTGTATGAGGATGTGTGTGTTTGATCTGGAAAAGTGAGTGACTTAAAACAAATACAACAACAACAAAAACTGCATTGGGCCAACAAGCAGAAGGCGTGGTGTGATCTGGGCCTTTATCACAGATTTGTGATATGACACTCAGCAGCTGTGGACCTCCTCTAGCTCCTGCACAACCCCATCCCTCTGTCACATGTAGTCCTTTAGTCCCAACAAGGCCTCTCTCTGTATTGGGGACCTCAGCAAATACTGTCTGGAGGTGAAGAACAGGAGGAAGATGTTGTCATGCTGATGACATAATGTCTACACTACTGGGGTCACCTCCAAGAACCATGGTACAAAGGACTGCGTGGTTCCCGCAGGAGGTGTGGATGACTGCCGTGCAGCACATGGTGCCTGGGCCAAGCAGGACATTGGATGCTCCTACCATAAAGAGCCTTTGCTTTTTAACAACATGAACTACTGTGAGCTGACTTAAGGGAAAAAAGACATTTTGGGGGGAAGATATTTAAACAAGATGGACTTTAAAGAATGCAAACATCCAAGTTTTCAGAAGGTTCAGAAGCATGACAATTTAAGGGATCTGACTTAAAAACTCAGTGTCTGTGTGTTTTAACTGTAATTATTGAAAAAGAGAGTTGATAGCTAAGTTTGGGATCAAATGTCCACTGCATATCCACTTAACTATGGCATAACTAGCAGCTACCTCTCTCATCTCTCTATTAAAATCCTGATTTGTTCAAGGCAACAGCTTGACCTCAGGGAAAACAGATCCCTTCTCCTGTTTTAGGGGCCAACTCTGATAGGCAGCACCAGTCGTAGTAACCCCATTTCTCTTTTCAGTAACTAACCATGTGACCTAGTTTAATGTAGAAGTTGGCTGACTTTAATTCTAGGAAAGTTTTTATTTTCTTATAAAAAGGAACAAATTTACCTGGTGAGACTTTCTCTTTGCTTTTCCTTTTTTTCTTTGGAATGCAGATATGATGTGTGGTGGTACAGGAGCCGTCTTGTGACCATGATGTGACAAACATGAGATGAAAGCTGTATGTCAGGAAAGGAGGCCATGAATGAGAAAAACCCAAAGTCATGCCCAAGTATGGTTGGGCTGCCATACTAACACTGTACTGCGTACCTTCTCTGTTTGTTCTTTTTTTTTTTTTTTTGGTACTATGGATATAGCCCAGAGGCACTTACCACAGACTCATATCCCTAGCCCCTTTTATTTTGAATCGGGGTCTCACTAAGTTTCTTAGGACCTTACTTAGTTGCTGGGGCTGACCTTGAACTTGGAATCCTCCTACCTCAACCTCCCAAGTCACTGGGATTACAGGTGTGCACCACCACGACCAGCTCTGGCTCCTGCTTCTTCTTCTTTTGTCTGTTTGTATATTTCACATTTCATAAAAGTCACTCATTTCAAGTGTACAATTCAATGATTTTTAGTAATTTCATTGAGTGGTGCAACAATCGCAATAAATCAGTTTTAAGACACTTTTCATTCCTCCACCAAGATTTCTGTTTTTTAAAAAAAAATTTTTATTTGAGAAAAATGAAAACCTATTTGTTGAAATCACAGTATATTTTAATAAGTCGTTGTTACTGGTTTTACTTATAATCAAAGTGTTTATAAATGAAAAAAAATTATGCAGTAAGTTCATGGTGCCAGGAACCAATGGAATCAGAGTGATTTTCAGATCTTTAATGGGAGAGAGGAAGAGGGAATGACTCATGAAATAGTGAGATATTCAAAAGTGTGTGCTACAGCCACCTAGGAGCCTTGAATTCTCACTGCTGCAGATCACCGAGAAACTCTGTGCCAGTACAAGCCTGTTAATTAATTCTATTTATTAATTCTACTGATTTTTATGGATCCTTCATTTTATGCTAGATAATTTTCTAGGTGCTGAGCATAGACTGGCGTGACTTTGGAAGGCCTGGTGTGACTTTGCCCTTTATCATAGATTTGCGATGTGACGCTTGGCAAGTGCTGTGCTCCACGAGTCAGTGTGGGTGCTCCTACACAGCGCCCATCCCTCCGAAGACGCTGGTTCTCCTTAAGTAAACATTCTAGAAAGGAAAGTAAACAATAAACATACAAACGAAATGAACAATATGTGTTTATATAGTGAAAAACTATTAAAAATACCAAAAAGCGTGTTGTGCTAGAGAATTAAGGGAGGCTGTTATCACAGGAGGCCTAAGAAAGGGATGTTTGAGATGAGTCTTGAGTTGCAAAAGGAAACCAACTGAGCAAGACCTGAGGGCCAGCCCCTCAGGAGGGAACGGCCAGTCCAGGGGCCCCAGGGTGGGAGTGGGAGACACTGGCCTGCTGGAGACAGAGTGGTGTGTGGTCGTGTGTCCTGCATGGTGACTTGGAAGGCTACCCATGCTTATCTCGCTGACACTGTGCCAGCGACTCAGCTCACTGACCTCTTGACACATCTCCAGGCTGCTGGCTGGGCTATGTGTTCCACAGGGCAGGCTTTCCTGCCATCTGCTGTAGGCTGTCAGAGGATGGGATCTCTGGGGTTCACTTTGTGCAGTGAATTCTCAGTCCAGAGTGACTGATCCCTTCTTTCCTCTCCCCTTGGGAATGGCTCCATTGTTCCCAGCCAATGCTCCCCAGGGGACTGGCTTTCTCTGGTCCTGTCAGGGCTGGCTTCCTTCCGATTAGGATCAGCCCTATTCTAGAAAGGACTGGCAGAGCGTTCATCTGGCACATAGCTGCTTTCAGACCACACAATAGTCACCTACTCAAGTCACAGCTGCCACGTTGGACGTGCCTCATGCTGAGAACCACCCATGGAGAGAACAAGGCAGAGTCAGGGTGCCTGTGGGGCGTCTGGCTGCGGCTCACAGCCTGCTGCAGCTGGTCATACCCCAAATCATCTTCAAGTGGTACTTATCAGTGAAGCAGTCACATGCCACCACAAGGCCAGAAGCGCCCTCAGAGTTGACCCTGTCTTGCATTCCTCCTGTGTCTGGTGTTGTCCAGAACAAAAGGGTTGGAACACCAGGATCCCCTCTTCTAGCAGGGTGCCTGCTAAACCAGATGTCCACTCAGCTACAGTAGAAAACAGAATTCTCATTTCTCTTACACTTGACCTTAACAGCAGTTGTAAACACTGTCTATCTTTGGGCAATTAGATTTCCTGTGTGATTGGTGAGACCTTAGGAATCTGACTGTTGGCCTTAGCAGGGTAAAGTTGCCTAAAGAGCTCAACTCATCACTTCAAAGCTCTGGGTTCGGTCCTCTAGGACCCCGCACACAAAAACACAAAATATTGAAATTGGCAGGGACCTTGGTGATTAACAGTTCTCCTCTTATCTATGGAAAATTTCTTAAAAAAAAAAAAAGAAAAAATGACCTGAACCAACGTTAATGATGGCACTATAGTAAAGAATCTTTGGGACACACCTGGGTCTTTCATGGACGTTTGAGCTTTGTGTTGTAATGTGCTCCTTGACTTAGGGACAACAACAACAAAAAGTTCCTATTGTGCCCATTGGAGTTGTCTGTGCCTCTGTCTGGATTATTCTTGCTATCATATGTAGTAGGCATTTTTCCCCCCTCTTTTCATAGACAAGGAAAAGGATACTGGGAAGGGTAAATCTATTTAGCTAGTAAATGGCAATACTGGACCCACACTTAGATCTTTTGACTTTTAAGCAATAGCATTTCCAAGTCCATCTCCATTTTCATCCTCTGGGCGTTGATGGCATAGCAGAGATTAACCATGATTTAGGCAGGACAGGATATGCACAAGCCCTGAAGAGTCACTGTCCATTCCTGAAGCAGATATACTGGGTTGCCAGGAGCTCTAAACAAAGAATTCTGATTTTTAGTGACACATCTTCTTCACTCCTGTGTCCTGCCAATCCATGCCTCCTTCTAGCAGTGCCTGTAACAGAAACAGGGGCCTGATGGCTACTACCATGACTTGGAACTGACCCATCTCAGTTGCAGCGTCCCCTTATATCAAATATCACCTCTCAGACTTACTGTGGCACTTAAAAGGCCAGGATGTTCCAATCAACTGACTAGGTCTGAATCTTGGATCCACAACTTCTTCTGAGCAACCTGAGATCTATCACCTCACCTCCCTGTTTCAGGTTTTTCATCTGTAACATGGAGCTAGTAATAGAACCTTCCCGTGGTGATGAAGATTAAATGAGGACTTCTGAAGGACCAGAACAGTGAGTGCTCAGAACAGTGAACCGTCAGTGCCAGTCATTGCTACATTTGCTCTTGATCCAGCTCCAGGAGTTCAGTCGCAGATCTGAATTCTCCCCAACAGCACAAACAGAATGAGATCCTCATCCCTGACAGTGGGCTTTCTGGGGTAAGATGTATCCAGAAGACACAATTTTCCTCCTAATTCCAGGCACTGATGTATTCTGGGTCCTGTGTTCCGAGGATTACCGTCATTTTCTGCCAGCATCACTCTCTCCACAGTAAAAAGAACTTTAGTTCACCCGCCTGAAAAGCCCAGGCTCACCTGGAGGTTATGATTAAGTATTTAGTGGAGAAGTCAGAGCCTCTTATGTAACTTGAAGTGTGTAAAGGAGCAATGATAAAACCGCTGCCCTGAACTTTTCCAAAGCACCATCAATCTCTCCATGTTAGGAGTTTCCAGTCGTTGCCAAGGTATCGTTTGTCCTCTTGTTTTTGTCTGAAGTCAGACTAGAAAAAAGTTGATGAACCCCCCTCTTGTTAGATTGTATATTTGCCGTTAAAGGCTATAAAAACACGACAATTCCAAATCACTCTAGTCATCTAAAATAAAAGCCATGTTTGTTTTGTGGTTTCTCCGCAATATTCTGATTTAAATTGATCACTTCCTAGAGTTTGCCTATTTCCTCATTCAGAGCTGGTCCTCCCTCCCTCCCCCTTGGCTTTCTGTTTCCATCTCTCTCTCTCTCTCTCTCTCTCTCTCTTTCTCTCTGTTTTTTTTTTTTTTTTAATATTTAGATCATCTCTCTAGTGACCTTTCAGTGGCTTAACATTTTGTCGCAATGCACAAGTGAAGCTGGAAAACCGCACCAAGTGACAAACTGTGAAGTAACAGCTCAGCCTTCACAGAGTGGATATGCTCTGTGCTATTTCTGGCCAGAGCAGATGTGGCCTTGATGGACAGTGGGGAACGGCCTCTCGCAGGTAAAAATAAATTTAAAAGATTAAAACCAAAATGATGCAAATCCTTCAGCCAGCACACTTATAATAGAACTGGGAGTCATGTAGAAGGACTGAACTTGGAATCCATCAGGATCCTACCTGGTGGGCTTAGTCTAGAAGACTCCAGCAATGAGCCGTTTGGCTTCAGGTTAGTCTCTATGACTTAAAATATATATTTTTAATCAACAACAGAAGAATAAAATAATAAAACCGTATATGCATCATGCAGTTTGAACAATCCTAACATTTTGATGGATTCATACCTGACATAGTTGAAGTTCTTTGTAGATTTCCCCTAAATACCATTTCCCTTTCTCACACCCCAAAGATAAACACTATTTTGAATTTTCATACTTTCTGTAAACACATGCATCTGTCCATAACATGTGCTATCGTTTTGCATATTTTAAAACTTTAGATCAATGAGAGTACACTATACATATTATTCTACAACTGGCTACTTTTGAATTTCATATTGTGTTCCAGCAGTTTAGCTTTTGGTTCATTCATTTGAACTGCTTTGTGGTATAATGCTTCATAATCAGACTACTATATGTTTATCTATTCTCCAGATGATGAACACTTGAATCACTTCTAATTTTATGCTATCATAAACAATGCTTCAATGAGTATTCTTGTGCATCTTCTTGTCCTCTTCTCTAAGACAGTGGGGTTTTTAAAATTATTTTTTTTCAAAATGTTTTGTCTATACCCAAATTAAAAGGTATACTTTACATGGAAACCCAGCCTATGTATATGCTACACTTATGTGTGTTTGTATGTGTGCAAAAGTATATGGAACATAAGTTTCTCATAATAATACCGTTATCTTCTATTTAGTTTTAATCCAGTTTAAGCTAGTCTATTTTCTGCACCCAGGAAATGCCAGTTGCAATTTACCAAAGTGATTGTATAATCCAATGAAGCATCTCCACTGACAATCTGAAAAAACATTGATCTGGGATACATGCATAGATAGGGACTTACTGGGTCATAGATTGTGCCCATTATTGTCAAACGGGTAAGTTTGTCTTTGTGGGTTCATCTTATTGGAATATCTAAATGGATATTTGTATTTAGCTAGTGTTCTGTGTATTTCTAGAAGATGTCTTTTCAGTCTATTTAGTGTGCCATACAACTGGAAATGGAAGTCGTATTTTAAGGTTTCTGGGCTTCAGTTTTTCATCTGTCACAAGAAGTCATACACACAACACACACACACACACACACACACACACACACACACACACACACACACACAGGCACGCACGCACACACCAGCCTCTTAAGAATTTTGCAATCTAGATTTTCAGTGTGGATAGCCAGAGAAATAAAAAGTTGTGCTCCATTTGTGTACAATGAGTCAAAATGCATTCTGCTGTCATGCATAACTAATTAGAATAATAATAATAATAATAATAATAAAAGAATTTTGCAATCTAGTTTTTCTGCAGCCCCCAGGTCATAGGGCGAACCTCAGGGTCTGTCACAGTGTGTGTGAGTTAGAAAAGAGGGAAGGAACTGGAGTGAGTAGATGGAGTTCTGGGCCTTACACTCCCACCCCTACACAAGGATCCCAATTTTAATCTTATTGGTCTATTATATTTCCATTAGATTTAATTGGCAACAAAGGTTGCACATCTTGAAAATATTCTTAAACTATGGGTGTAGAGGTTCTTTGAGCTCTTTCCAGATCTAAACTTGACTAAAAATAACCTTTGAGTCTCTGGATCATTTAAAATTGTATCCAAAGTTAAAGAGGCTAGAGCTGAGGGAGTAGGGTTTCCTGAGCTGGAGTTGGGCAAACAGTGTTGGCCAATACGCCTGAGAGTGAACCTATTCTTCCTGCCATTGCAGGAGCTGACTTGGATAGGACATTTTTTAGAGTCCCACAGGACAAATTGGGAGCACTCTTGGGCCAGGGCCCATACTTTGAGGACAGCCATTTTTAATCCCATCGTATGGGATTTATCTTCAGGACGTTGCCTTAATAAAAGTATTTTGTTTTCATTGTGCTGCTTATTCTGTGAATAAGGACTTTAAATAAATTTTCCTAAAATCCATTTCTGCCCAACAAACTGTTCCACATGCTCATGATGAAGCTCATTTTCTCAGCAGGGTGCTCAGACAGTTAAACCATTATATTCACAGAGATGAAATTTTATTATCGGTTTAATGAAAATCTTCAGCTCCTCCTGGGTTTATTTTTGCTTTCCCATATATAGCAGGAACATAAAAACAAGAAGGAAAAAAAAAAAAAAACCTGGGTAGTAACTTGATAGTCAAGTGAATTAGGGGTGGGCATGTGTTAATTAATTTATATAAAATCATAGCCCGCTCTCCTATTACCCTGCCTTCTCCACCTCCCTTGGGCCTGGATTTCAGCCTCCTCCCAGACTCTGGTTCTTCCCTTCAATTTGTCCTGCTTGTATTTCATCTTCTTAATCACTGTTTTCATCACACCACTCCCCTGCTCAGAAACCCTCAAGGGATCGTCATTTCCCTCCACATCAAATCTAAACTCAGAGGCCTGATTTCAGGGCTTCTCCCAATCTGTTCTTTCCTTACACCTCCAGCTTTATTTTCTTGCCAGATACGCTTCTGGTTCTCATGGGTTTGTAGATGATATGGAATTTTTGTACACCAAAAAAATAAAATAAAATCGGTGTCATTTTTCTTAGGCACAGTTCAGCCCAGTTGCCACAAACAAGAGCACACACACACATCAACAGTCATTACCTCCCCCACAGGTCATGTGATGTGGTTCTCTGGGGGCTGGGCTGGACACAGGCAGTGTATGCACCTCTCTATCTCTTAGGCTGTTCGTGAAAGGTGACTTTCTGGAGCTGTTTGTGAAAAGCTCTGCCATTTTGATAAGTCAGGCAGAATGCAAATGGCATGCAGGCAAGTAAGAGAGACAATGAAATATCAAGCCAGGAAAGCTGGCTTCAAAACTTGTAAAGAGGTGCACCTGTACCAGGGAAGACTCAGCTGATCACAAAGTTCTGGGAAAAAAAAAAATACTGCTGCAGGGGTAGGTAAATGACATTCAGGAGAAGGCTTATTATGTCTTGGAAGGGGGTTTTCTCTGTGAAGGTAGATCATTTTCAAATTTTGTTTATTGTCATGTATATATGTAAATAATGTTATTTTTTTTTCTCTTTTTCAGTAAGTTTTGGCTCATCCACTTAATAGAACTGTATGATTTGGGAAAAATTTCTTCAAGGTATTAATAGCATATAGTACTTAGAATTGTTCTGAGAACTAAATGACATAGTATATTTAAAGAGCATAGAACTTGTTCAAGACAAAAATATTAGTTGTTATTTCTGTCATCATAGTTATTCTAAGTATGCATAAGCTGCTCTTCATTTGGGCAGCTGCTAAAATTCTGCTTTCTCTCCAAATATCTTCAAGTCAACTCAACTCAATAAGCAGTTAGTGATCACTCAGTATATGCCAGGCACAAATACACAAATACAACAAATACAACAAATACCACAAATACAACACTGACCTTGCCATTGAGCAGTTTATCTTCTAGCAGGGAAGGCAAACCCACAAATTAATCGCAGTCATGTACCACCTAACAATCTAAGGACATTTTGGTCAATAATGTCAGATCCATATTTGGTAGTGGTTTCATAAGATTATAATAGAGCTGATCATATTTTTGTGTCTTGTTCAATTTCTTTTATCAGTGTTTTACAGTTTTCACTGTAGAGATCTTTCATTTCTTTGGATCAATTTATTCCCGGTATTTTATTTTATTTTATTTTTTTGTGGGACTGTTGTAAATGAGATTGCTTTCTTGATTTATTTTTCAGATAATTGGCCATTTGCCTATTTAAACTGATTTTTTGAATGTTGATTTTGTGGCCTGTAACTTTACTGAATTCATGTATTAGTTCTAATAGATTGATGAAGTTTTGGGGTTTTCTTTCTATATGATCATGTCATCTGAAAATCAATGACAACTGTGCTTCCTCATCTTCCACTTGAATTACTTCCTTTCTTTTCCTTTTTGGCAGATTGCTCTGGTTAGGACATTCCATACTATATTGAATGAAAGTGCTGAAAGTGGAATTCCTTGTCTTAATCTGAATTTTAGAGAGAAAGCTTTCAGCTTTTCCCCATTCAGTAATGATGTTAGCTGTGGGATTCTTATATATCACATTCATTTTAATGTTGAGGTATGTTCCTTCAATTCATTCAGAGTTTTTATCATAACAGGATATTGAATTTTATCATGTTTTTCTGGTCTAATGAGATGATCGTATGGTTTTGTTTTTCTTAATGTTGATATGGTGTACCACATGGATTTGTATAAGTTGAGTCATCTTTGCATCCTTGGGAGAAATCCCTTTTGATCATAGTGAATAACTTTTGGGCGGGGCAGGGGGAGCTACCAGGGATTGAATTCAGGGACACTTTACCACTGAGCCCCATCCCGGCCCTATTTTGTGTTTTATTTAGAGACAGGGTCTCACTGAGTTGCTTAGTGCCTCACTTTTGCTGAAGCTGGCCTTGAACTTGCAATCCTCCTGTCTCAGCCTGTGAGTAACTTTTTAAAAATGTGCTGTTGGACTCAGTGTGCTAGTATTTTGTTGAAAAATTTTGCAACTATTTTCATCAGTGATATTGGCCTGTAGGGTTATCTTTTATTGCGTCCTTGTCTGATTTTGGTGTCAGGGTAATGCTAGTCTTATGAAATAGATTTGGAATAATTTCCTTCTCCTCAATGTTTTAGAATGATTTTTAAAAGGATAGATTTTAGTTCTTTAAATTTAAATTTTTCGGTAAAATTCAACAGTCAAACCATCTGGTTGGAATTTTATTTGTTACTGATTCAGTCTTGTTTCTCATTATTGGTGTTTTTGGATTTTCTGTTTCTTCATGATTCAGTTTTAGTAAGGTATGTATATGTTCTGAAATTTGTACATTTTTTCTAAGTTATCAAATTTGTTGGCATATAGCTGTTCATATTGTCTCTAGTGATCCTCTGTGTTTCTGTTGTGTCTCCTTTTTTGTTTCTGATTGTTTTTGAGGTTTTTTCTCTCTATTTTTGTTTAGTTAATCTAACAGTTTATCAATTTTGTTTATTTTTTTAAAACTCAATTTTATTGATGTTTTGTGTTATTTTTAGTCTATTTCATTTATTTCTATGCTGATTTTTCTTATTTCTTTTCTTCTACTAATTTTGTGTTTGGTTTGTTCTTGATTTTCTCCTTCTTTGAAGTGCAGTGATAGGTTGTTTAAGATCTTTCTGCTTTTTCAGTGGATGTGGATTTTTGCTATAAACTTCCCTCTCGGTACTGCTTTTGCTTTATCTCAAAAGTTTTGGTATGTCATGATTCTGTTTTTATTTATTTCAAGAGGTTTTTAAATTCTCCTCAATTTCTTCATTGATTCATTGGGTGCTCAGGAATATGTTGTTTGTTTTCTATGTATTTGTATAACTTCCAAAGTCTTTCTTTTATTGATTTCTTATTTTATTGCATTGTGGTCAAGAAAAGATATTTAATATGACTTAGGTTTTTAGAATTTGTTGAAATCAGTATGTTGAAGAGATACATTTACTCCTGAGTTTGTTGTAGCACTATTCACAGTAGTCAAGAAATGAAAACAAACGTAGTTAGTATCTATTAACTGATGAATGGATAAAGGAAGTGTGGTAGGTGGTAGGTATACACAATGGAATACTATTTAGCTAAAAAAAGGAATTTAATTTTTTTATTTGCAACAGCATAAAGTGGAAATGGAGGTTGTTACGTCAAGTGAAATAAGATAGGAATAGAAAAACAGATACCATACAATCTTATTCATACATGGAATTAAAAAAAAATTTGATCTCACAGAAGTCAAGGGTAGAATGGTAATTACCATGAAGCTAGGGAGAGTACCTGAAAGAGAGAGATGGGGTAAAGTTGGTCAAAGGGTACTAAGTTATAGTTAGGAAAAATTAAATTCTGGTGTTTTATTCTATAGTTGGTAATGATAGACAATGACATTGTACTGTATATTTTCTAAAAACTTGAAAGGGTTTTGAATGTATTTACCACAAAGAATGGTGTTTAAGGAGATCATAGATTTGAGCATTACACAATGTATACATGTACTGAAGCCTAACATGGCACTCTATAAATAGTGTGGGCAATTTTTATATGTCAAAAAATGAATTCGTGCTGGGGGTGATTGTGCATCCCTGTAATCTCAGCTATTCGGGTTGCTAAGGTGGGAAAATCATGAGTTCAAGGCCAGCCTGTGCAACATACCGAGACACTGTCTCAAATTAATTAATTAATAGATTATAATGGAGCCTAGTAGTTCCTATCAGCTGCTGAGGACATAGGCATTGTAACACCATCATTGTGCAATGTATTGCCTATGTGTTTCTGGCAATGTAAAACCTACTATGCTGCCAGTTATATAAGACACAGCACATGTGGTTATGTATAGTAGTATTACTGGATAGTAAATGACTTTGTTAATAGTTTATGTATTTTCTATATTACACATTCTATCATTGCTTTAGAGCATACTCCTACTTATAAAAATAAGTTTACTATAAATATGATATGCTGTGTAACTCTGGCAGCAGCCTCATAAATCTGGTGTTTACCAGGTCTCTGGATTGCATCATTTTCTTTTGTTTGATTTAACTCGTCTTGTTCATTGTGGCTCCAGGAGATACACACACACACACACACACACACACACACACACACACACACACACACCACTAGCCTAGGAATGAGGTAGGCAGGCTGAATTATTTAGGTTTGTCAAGGTACCTCTGTGATGTTCTCATGATGAAATCATCCAGTGATACATTTCTCAGCATTGTCAAGTGACATGGGGAACAAGGACTGATGCACAGAAATTTTTGAGAGTTTCTAAGGATAAGAAATACTGTTTCTATGATTAAACTCACTCCACGAAGGAAGAGGAGTGGAGGCACCACAGAAGTCCTCTGTCAGAGGCTTCTAAAGACTCACAAGGGCTGTTGCAATGTAGGAATGAAGTATTGCTATGTGGCAAAGCATGGATGGTCCTTGAAAACAATATGCCAAGAAAAGAAGGCAGTCATGAAAGACCAGATGTTGCATTATTTCATTTATTTGAAAGACCTAGAACAGGCAAATCTATTCATATAGTAGATTAGTATTATGTAGGAGTTGGGGGTATTGGGAGAAGGAATAGGAAGTGACTGCTGTTGAGCATGGGGTTACTTTTGGGGAGTGATAGAAATGTTCTAAAATTAGATGCTGATGCTGTCTGAGCACATCTGTGAATATATTTAAAATTGTTGAGTCATTTACTTTGAAAGGGTGGATTTTATGAGATGTGAATTTTATCTCAATAAAACTGTCATTTAAAACATTATTTGTTGCATTTAGTTGTTACATCTCTTCAACCTCCTTGGAATAATTATTTAATCTTTCTTGATTTTATTGACCTTGATTCTTTTGAAAATTACAGGCCACTTCTTTTGTGGATTGTTCATCAGGTTTTTGGTGTTTCCTCATGGTTAGATTCAGGTTATATATATTGACCAAAAATATCACAGATGAAGTACTGTGTTCTCATTGTATCTTATAGAGTGGTACACAATTTTAGTTTGTCCAGTTACTGGTTAACTCAACTAAGATACTGTATATCAGGTTTCTCTTTTTTAAAGTTATTCTTTTTCCCTTTGAAATCATTTTAATTTTGTGAAAAGTTACATTGAGACTGTATAAATATCTCATTCTTTATCAAATACTTACTTATCTGTTTATATCAGAATGAACCCAGACTTTCACATCTAAATGTCATGCTATGATGTATTATTAAAGTCATTTTGCTGTTCAAATTATCCCAGATTTGGCTAGTAGGAACCCCTTCAAACTGGCTTCTGTGTCTTTGTGGTACATCCCTTTCATTCTCTGAGCACTTCCTTACTCTCTGTTACAAGAAGATACTCTAATTTCATCTGTACTTTGTCTGCCCAGCCCTATAACCAGTTATTTTTACAAGAAACTCAGCTTCTTTTTAATGGAGAATGATATTTAGAAACCAAGATTTGATTTCTAAGGTATGCTCACTGGTCTTTGGGTGTTTCCAGTTCCCTCCTCGTGGACTAAGCTGGAGAATAGACGAATGTTTATGTGTATATACATGCACACATTATGTCTGTGATTCTCTACATTGTCTGTCTATTGTCCACACATCCACCCAATAAAC